AGGTAAAGAAAGATTGTAAAAAAACCATTGATTTATTTTTGTATGAAGAAGATGGAAAATTTCATTATTCACTAATTAAAAACTTTTCCCGTCTTGTACGTAGTCAAATTACTAAAAGAACAAATGAACCAATTAATATTTGTAAGAGATGTTTTTGTCATTTTACAAAACCAGAATTATTAGACAAACATATTAAATATTGTTATAATAATAAAACATCAATTGTAAAAATGCCAGAAAAAAACACAACTTTATACTTTAATAACTATGATAAACAACTTCCTATTCCTTTTGTTGTATATGCAGATTTTGAATGTTTTACTAAACCAATGAATAGTTGTTCTCCCGATCCTAAAGATTCTTACAATTATAACTATCAAAAACATGAACCATCAGGATTTTGTTTTTATGTAAAGGGTATTGTTAATAAAAGAATTAAACCAATCATTTATACAAAAAAATCAGATGATGAAGATATTGCTAAAATATTTGTAGAAAAACTTACAGAAATGACTAAAGGTATATATAATGATTTTTATTGTAAACAAAAACCTTTAGTAATGAGTGAAAAATTGAATAAAGATTTTATTAATGCAGTTAATTGTCATATTTGTGGATATGAATTAGGTAAAGATAGAGTTAGAGATCATTGTCATTTTACAGGTAAGTACCGTGGTGCAGCACATAACAAATGTAATCTTATGTGTAAAAAACCAAGAATATTACCAGTTATATTTCACAATCTTCAGGGTTATGATGCACATCTATTTATCAAACAACTTGCTAAAATAGATGGTGATCTTAGTTGTATTCCATCTACTGAAGAAAAATATCTTTCATTTTCTAAAACTATTAAAGTTGGAGATTACAAACATATTAGTGGTGATTTTATTCCAATAAAATTTGAAATCAGATTTGTTGACTCATTTAAGTTTCTTCAAACATCACTAGCCAATCTTGTTTCAAATTTAAACCAAGATGATTTTCATATTACAAAACATGATTTTAAGAATAATACTTCATTACTAACTCGTAAAGGAGTTTTTCCTTATGATTATGTATCATCAGTTGATAAATTATCTGAAAAACAATTACCACCAAAACAGGGGTTTTATTCTAAACTATATGATGAAGATATAAGTGATGAAGATTATAACCATGCTATTAAAGTCTGGAATACATTTGGGTGTAAAACAATAAGAGACTATCATGATCTTTATCTAAAATCTGATGTAATGCTTTTGGCAGATGTGTTTGAAAACTTTAGGAAAACTTGTCTCCACCACTACAAATTAGATCCAGCTCATTACTACTCATCTCCTGGATTAGCTTGGGATGCATGTCTAAAAACAACAGGTCAACGTTTAGAATTATTAAGTGATTATGATATGTTAATGATGTTTGAGCGTGGTATTCGTGGTGGAATAACACATATATCAAAAAGGTATGCAGAAGCAAATAATAAATATATGAAAAATTATAATCCTGAAAAGAAATCATCATTTATACAATATTTGGACGCAAACAATCTTTATGGTTGGGCTATGTCACAGAATTTACCAACACATGGGTTTAAGCAGATAACTAATATTACAAAGGAAAAGGTAATGAAAATTTTAGAAAAAACAAATGATAGTATGGCAAATACTGGTAAGAAGGGATATGTTTTTGAAGTTGATTTGGAGTATCCACCAGACTTATGGGATCTTCATAATGACTATCCTCTTGCACCTGAATTAATGAAGGTTAATGGAGTTGAAAAACTAATATGTCATTTTAAAACAAGAAAAAATTATGTTATTCATTACAGAGCTCTTAGACAATGTCTTGAGTTGGGTATGAAGATTACTGCTGTTCACAGAGGAATATCATTTTACCAATCTCCTTGGATGGAACCATATATTAGAAAAAATACAGAACTTAGAAAATGTGCTGCAAACAATTTTGAAAAAGATTTTTTTAAACTAATGAACAATTCAGTTTTTGGTAAAACAATAGAAAATATTAGAAAGCGTCAAAATATAGTACTTATTGATGATCGTAAAAAAGCATTAAAATTATCAAGTCGTCCAAACTTTGATAGATGTACAATATTTGATCGAAATCTTATTGCTATTCATATGAAAAAGACAGAAGTGTATTTTAATAAACCAGTATATGTTGGTCAAGCAATTTTAGACTTATCAAAAACTCTAATGTATGATTTTCATTATGAATACATCAAAAGTAAATATGGAAAGAAAGCTGAGTTATTGTTTACAGATACAGATAGTCTAATGTATCATATTAAAACAAAAGATTTTTACAAAGATATAAGTAATGATGTAAAAGATAAATTTGATACTAGTGATTATCCATCAGATCATCCTTCTGGTATACTAACAGGAGTTAACAAAAAAGTAATTGGCGTGTTTAAGGATGAAGCATCAGGAAAACAGATAACACACTTTGTTGGATTACGTCCTAAACTATACAGCTATAAAGTTGAGGATGAACTAGAATTAAAGAAGTGTAAAGGAATAAAAAAAAATGTGGTAAAAAAGTCATTACTATTTGATGATTATGTTAGATGTAATATATCAAACATGAGATGCAGTGTTTCATCACCAGATGAAACACCGAGAAGAGAGTTGAAAATACGACGCGCAGCGGAGTATTTTTGACGAACTTCGAGGTGTTTCATCTGGTGATGAAACACTGTGTCGAATGTTTGATATTTCTTCTCAAACAAAATCATTTTTGAAGGAGAAATTAAGGATGCAAATACTAAGCAGTGTTTCATCCGATTTCCAAACACTCATTAAACATTAATTTCCTTTGTATTTTCTTAATGAATTATTAATGAGTTTGAGAAGTTTATTTTCTGGTAAAAAAGAAATGAGAAAGATGAAAATAATAAGAAGTGAGAAGCATGATATATATTCTAAAGAGGTTAACAAAGTAGCTCTAAGTAATCAAGATGATAAGAGACATGTGTTAAATGACCAAATACATACTCTAGCTATTAGAGAAAAATATTAGATTTAAGATATAATAAGTAGAAATAATAAATGTCATATACAGAAGAAGAAATAAAAAAATATCTCAATATTTTACATAATTATAAAGAAGAAAGTGAGGGGGTTAAAAAGTCAAAAGTAGCTTCATGTTTAGGCTGTAAAAATACAGAATCTTTTTTTATTGATTTTGGACAAAAAATATGTTATGAGTGTGGAATGATAAACGGACATGTATTAGGACTTTATGATGTGAAAGATTATGATAGGGTACATTATAGAAAAAAGAGTATTTATCATAGGAAGTATTACTACGATAAAAAGGTTAATAATATTTCTAAACTAATAGATCTTTCTGATGAACAAAAATGTGAACTTTACAACAGGTTATTAAAAATAGATAATTACATTATGGAAAATATTAACAAACAATATTTTAGAAAGAGAATGATAAATATTACTTATGTAATAAAAAAAATTTTGGATGAAATGGGATGTGAAAAGTATAAAAGTATAAAGCTTAAAATAAGTCCTAAAACTTTAGAAACTTATGATAGTTGGTGGGAAACTTATAAAGAATTGATAAAATAATTTTATATTATTATACTAATATAAAATTTTGAGTTAAAATAGTCCAAACATACCATCAAACACATTTTTAATAGTATGAAATGCTTTTTTTAAATTATCCTCATTTATTTCATGATATATGCGTTTACATCTATCATCGTTTAAATAAACATAATCATAATGATATACTTCATATATATTCTTAAACGCTTTTTTCATATCAAAAAGATCTTCATCCATTTCAAAATCTATATCTTTATCTATTTTTGATTTTAATTTAATATCCATTTGGTCTAAAAATTTATATATTATTTCAGCATCAAGAGTTTCATCTTTAATTTTATCCTCTATTTTTGATAACAAATCTTTAGTATCCATTTTAACTAAATCTTCAAAGGTTTGATCTTTATCCTCATAATGAGATAAAAATTCTTTAGTAAGATTTTCATCATAGTATTTTCTTTTTAATTTTACTTCATCAAACTCTTCTAACATGTAATCGTTATGTACATGATCATAAAAATCTTTCATTAATTTGTGTGCAAGTTTTTCAATTTCTTTTTTTTGGATAATGAAACAAACCATTTTTTATTAATAATTATATTAATCTTCTAAATAAAAACAATCGTAATAATATACCTCAAACATATGCATAAATGCTTTTTTCATATACCAAAGATCTTCGTCGATTTCATGTTCTATATCTTTATCTATTTTTAAACTAATATCCATTTGACTTAAAAAATGAAATATTATTTTAAAATCAAGAGTTTCATCTTTAATCTCAGTTTCTATTTTTGATAACAAATCTTCAGTTTTCATTTTAACTAAATCTTCATATCTCATATTATCAAAATATAAGTTTCGAAAGGTTTTCTCTTCATTTTCATAAAACGATAAAAATTCTTTAGTAAGATTTTCATCATAAAATTTTCTTTTTAATTTTACTTCATCAAACTTTTTTAAAAAATATTTTTCATGTACATGATCGTAAAATTCTTTCATTAATTTTTTACCAAGTTTTTCAAGATCTTTTTTTTGAATAATGCAAGCTTTCATTTTATACTAATAATTATATTATTCCTTTATGAAAAATCCAGTATAATATTCCAGTTAGATAACCAAGTACTTCACTTTTTATTGGAGAATCAAATACGTATACATATCCTCTACCACGTTTGTAATGTTTATAGAAAGATTTAAAAGCTCTATGGAATATTAAATGATTACGTAATATTTTACTTTCAGTATTAATAGGTAAACCTTCTAACTTATAGATAATTTTTTCTAATGAAATATTTTTTTTAAAAGTAGTCTCATATAAAAATCTATATACTAATGCTGATTTTATCTCATCTTCTGAATAAATAGTATTTTTAAAAGGAGGTGGGTAGTAAAAGTTAACGTAATGAACTATTGTTTTTATCATTTTTATTAATCACATATATTAAATTTATTATTATATTTAATCTCAAATCTATCTGGTTCAGGAGATTGATCAATTATCATATCATCTATTAGTTTCATTCTATCTACGAATTTTTGTTTATCCCATTCATCTCCTCTAAGTACAGCTCGAAGTTCAACAAGAACTTTTTCATAAGTGGTGTATGCAATACGAGTCATTTCTATTTTTCTCTTGTAGTTATTTTTCTTTCCTACTCCAGCAACAATTACTCCAGCTCCATTTATTACTCCAAGAATAACAGGATTAAGTGTAATTCCACCAGTAATAGTTCCTATTGCTACCAAACATATTCCAGAGATTGTAAAACAATTATCAAGAAATTTATAACTTTTATAAGACCTCTTAAAACACCAATATTTTTTATGGTAGTAACTGTAAAAATCTTTTATTGTTTTAATATCAGATTTTGATAGAGATGGGTCTATGTGATTAAAATCAAAAATATCCTTCATTTTTTTATTTTATGTATATAATCTTAGGTTAAACTATAATACATAATTTCCGTTTATCTTTTCTTGTAGTAATATATGATGATGTACTGAAGAGTCAATGTCGTAAAAGTTTGGAGAGTACATAAATTTTTCTATCACTGAATCTTTACATAAAAATTCAAATTCAAGGTTAGCTGAAGTTCTTACAATATTAGCGTCTAAGTCTGCGGAATAGTTACTTATATTAACTTTTGTAATATTATCATTAATACTTTCTGTTAACCATAAAACTATTTTTTTTCCATTAAAACTAGATGGTATTGCTAAATTTTTATTTACATTACCAATACTTATGTTTAGATAATTAGTTATAGATAAATAGTATAAAAATAAAAGTTGTTGTCTTGAATTTGCATTAGACACATCATATTTCTTTATACTAAAATTATTTCTTTTAAAATGAGAAAAAACAATACATAAAGTGTAACTTGTATTTTTAATTGGTGGTTTAAAAGATATCTTATAATTATTTATTCTTAATCCAGTTTCTTTTATGTTATCCATTGTTTTACTTGGAAATGTAATATTTTGTGCAGAATTTCCTGTAATAGAGGACAAAGCATTAAACACAACACCAATTGAACTTTTATTTAAAACGTAATAGTTTGAATCGCTAAAGTCAAAAAAATGTTCAAAATATTTTCTGTAAACATAATTTTTTATAAAAGGTAAATTTTTATTTACAATTCCAACTGTTGCTGTATTAAACTCATTTACCATTCCAACTGTTGCTGCACTATTATTATTATTTTTATCAAGATCAATGTTTAATATTTTTTTATTATTTGCATTTATGTCAACATTGTATGTAACTTCTGTTGGTTTGATATCAAATGCTGTGTGATAGTCATAAACTTTATCTGGGTCGATATTGCTTACTTTACCCACAATACCATAAGTAACAAAATAAACTCCTGAAAACTGTCTTGGATAAACAGACAGGTCACTTCCTTCTTGTGGTATATTAACAAGAAAATGAAGAAAGAACCTATTACCAGTTGACAACTTTTTAAAATTAACTATTATTCTATGGTAATACATATATTGTGTTTGATTTGTTGCATCTATATAACTATGACTAAGTTTTTTTACACTTACATTTTCAATTGATAATCCTGATGAAGTTCCTTTGTCTACACTTATTTGAGACTTATGCCAAAGTTGATAGTCAGTGTTTAGTATTTCCAAACATAGTGTGTAATCAACATTAGCGGTTAATCTGTAAAAGTTAACTGACATTTTGTACTTATATCCACCTTGAGAATTTTTGTTTATTTTTACATAAATTACTTTGTGGTTATAGTTATGAAAATTACCTTTTGAAGGAGGTAAGTCTGCTATTTTTGATATAACAAAACTAGTTCCAGTATCTATTTCATCAGTCCATTGTGCTGCATTAGACATAAGAAAAGTAAATTGATCGTTGTAATGACTTGGTTGAACTGCAGTGTGATGAATTAGTTTGTCAGCGTAATCTTTATTTACAGCATCATTGTCTTGGGTTGGATTACTTAAACTAATAATTTTTTTATTGTTCATATTTAAGTTTCCAGTCATACGATCCGTTCCATCTTTTTTTAAGTAACCTGTTGTAAATCCTTTATCATCCACATACTTTTTGGTTGCAGCATCTGTATCATTAAAAGGTGGTCTTAGACCAATTATAGGTTTATTATTCATGTTAAGTGAGTTTAACATTTTATTTGTTCCACCAACATGTAGATACTTTATATCTGTAAAGGCTAATGGTGTTGGTTGTTTAGGACCCATTGGAATTGGTAGGTTTAAAATTCTATGATTATCCATGTTAAGATTACCTTTCATTGGATAAGATCCATCTCTATCAAGAAATGTATTGTCTACATAATCTTTTGTAGGAGGTTCTTTTGCATCCAGTGGTGTGCTTAGATTTTTAATTCGGTATGTATTTTTCATATCAATGTTTGAATCAATTGTTAGATTTGATGTCGAGGTGGGTTTATCATCCACATACTTTTTGTTTGCTGCGTCATTATTAGCTGTTGGTTTACCAACATTAGTTATTTTATTATTATTCATACTTAAATTGCCAATCATTGTTCGTGAACCATCTCTGTTAAGAAAATTACTGTCTGCATATTGTTTTGTTGCTGGCTCATCTGCATCATTTGGATGTTTAAGGTTTAAAATACGAAATCTATCTTTCATATCAATGTTTGAATCAACTGTTAATCTTGATGTTTTGGGTGCCCCGCTAGAATTATCATCAACATACTTTTTTGTAGCAGCATCAGTATTAGCAGTTGGTGTACCAACATTTCTTATTTTTTTATTTATCATATCATAATCACCATCAGAAGTAAGATTAAATCCAACTCCTGGTGCTCCTTGAATTCCTTTAGCAAATGAGTTATCTTTTTGTTCGTTAAATATTCCCATTTTATTTATTAGTTTAGACTACTAGTAAAGTTTTTAGCAATACGTTTTTTAGGCTTATCAATGTACAAAAATGTAAATGGTTTTTTTGTTGCTGTTCTATATGTTTCTTTATCAACTCCTAATTCTGATGATATACGATTTGCTTCTCTCGATGATGGAAATTCGTACAGACAGTAGTGAGAACAATTTAATCTAATATCCTTTGGAGTTTTGTAAAATGATTGACTGAGGTATATTACAGAACAATTCTTATGACGACCTTGGATGAAATAATCAATAAGTTCTCTTTGATTTTTATCACAAACGTAATCATCAAATATTACAAGTTTTTGATTATCCTCATATTCCATTTCTGTCACTGGAGTTATTTCATCATTACTTACATTTAGTATTTCATATCCCATTTTATGACTTAATTCTCTCATTTTTTGAACTAACTTTTGATACTTATCTTGTTCTAGATTACGAGCGTAAAGATAAATCTCATCATAGTATAGTAGTGGTTTAATTAACATATGATAAAGCAAGTTAGTTTTACCACTTCCACTGTTTCCACATATTAACATTCGAAATGTGTCTGATGGCATGTAAGGAAATAACTGTTTATATTTTTTATCTGAGTCTTCTAAACTATCATAATTTGGTATTTCCATTTTATATAATAGTTATATAATAGTTATATATTTATTATATAAAATGGATATTGAAGAATACAAAAAACTTGCAAGAAATAAAATTGAGGCTGATGCTTTGACTAAACAGGTGAGAAATGTTATAAAAGAAACAAAATGGCAAAAACAAAATATGAGAGAGGGATTTACAGAAACATTTAAACCACTTATTGAGTCTCAAGAGAGTGTTAAAAAAAGTATTGATGATCAGCAAAATAAAACTATAGCACAACTTCAAGCTAATCAACTTGCTCTTACACAAGGACTTAATCAAAACAGATTGGCTATAACTGAAGGATTAGAAAAATTTGTAGAAAAATTTGTAGAAAAATTTGAAGACGCTGAAGAAGGTGGTGAAGCAAGTGGTGAAGCAAGTGGTGAAAAAGGTTCAAAAACACAAATAGCAGAATTTACAACTGAAGATATGGATAAATATTTAATGAATACTGAAAGACTAGATATACTAAAAAAAAATGGTTATAATAATCTACCTTCTTCATATTTAAACGATGATATTAAAAATATTGAAAAAATAATTAATATTCTTGTTGATGATCTGAAAAATCTTCAAGAAATGTTAAAAAACACTGCTATTATTTATCAAAATAAAGAAGGTTATTATTTAGCTAGACAAAAAAAAGCAAATCCACATAAAGAAACTATTAATAACATAGATACTTTTAACGCAATAAGCACATATTATAAAAATTTAACTGATCTTTATAATTATAAAAAAAAAATTGGCTCTGGAATGATTTACTTTAACAACCCACATCAACTTCTAGACAGACTTGAATTACTTGGTGGTTCAATTCTAGCTGGGAATAATGGTGTAATAAATGAGTTTTCTAAAATAGCACATCTTCTAAACCAAATGAAAGTAATTACAAAAAAACAACTGAATGATTTACTAAAAACTTATATAACAATTAGATAAATGGAAGAACGAGCTATTCATATTTCCTCAATAAATAGGGAAAAAAGAGGAACAAGCAGACCCGGTGATTTTACTATTAAGTTTAATCCATCTTTGAAACTTGACCCTGAAAAGAAACATCAACTTGCTCTTGATAGGTTGTCCATGACTTACTCTTGGTACAACATTAGAAGTGATTATAAAAATAATAAGATTAAATATACTCACGATGGATCAACTTGGCAAACAATTACTTTTACAGATGGAATGTATTCCTACTCAGATATTAATGATTACATTCATCAGTATATGGATCAAAAATCTCACTCATCAGGTTCAAGTGGAAATAAAACTTATTCAATTAATATAACATTTATACTATCCACCTATCGAGTGTTAGTATCAATTGAGGGTGATTATCAATTAGATCTGAGAGGAACAGAATTTGGAGACTTGATTGGATTTGAAAAAAAACTTATTACAAAAACAGAGTATGGAACAAAACTACCAAATATAACAAATTCTATTGATGTGTTAAATATTAACACAACAGCAATAACTAATAGTATTGTAAATGGAATAAATACAAATACTATTGCTGTAATACCAACTGATAATTTAACAAGATCTTTTCCATTTACTTTCGAACCTAAAAGACCATTGTATTGTGATGTTTCTGCGTTTAAAATTGATGAAATGAGAATATTTGTTACAGACTCAGTTGGAAGACCAGTAAATTTTAATGGTATAGATTGGTATATGACTTTGATACTCCACTCGATGTAATACTTCATATTTATATAACTATTAAAATAAAATGATGCGACAATCAGAGTTTAAAATGAAACTTGACCCTGAATTGGGTAAATATACAAGAGAACATATATATGGAGAAGGAATGATGGATAGGTTTAAATCCTTTGGAAAAAAAACATTTGCAAAGTCAATGAAAAAAACTGCTAAAAAAAGTGCTCAAAAAAGTGGTGATAAATTACTAAAAATGACTGCAACAAAAACTGGTGAATATTCTGGTAAAAAGGCTGGTGATAAAATAGTGCAAATGTTATCCAAAGAAAAGGTAAAATCCACCAAAAAAACCCCTTCAAAAAAAAAAGTTGAAAGTTTACCAACAAGAAAAATGACTCAACAAGAAATAAATAAAAGACTGAATTCCATTCTTAGTGGAGGTTCATTAAACTAAGAAAAAAATTATATAATTATTAAAATAAAATGAAGTCTTTTAGAAATCCAAATTACCTAGAGAGATATGAAGATGTTGTTTTTGATCTGGAACAAGCTATTAATACAGCTCCAGCAAACAACACTGATCAAGATAGAAATAACCTTAAATTTATCACTGACAATTCAGGTGAAGTAACACCATTTGATTGGTATAATGCTAGAATAGCAATAGATTTTAAAGTTCAAAAACGTGATGGTACTAATTTTGTTATTGGAGCTAATGTAGATGATGACAGTCTTACAGCTGCTAGAAACGCTCAGTATATTGCATATAGAGATGATCAAATGGGAATTGTAAATGGAGCAAATAGTTTTATTTCAAGATTATCAGTATTAGCAAATGGAAAAGAACTATACCAGTGTAATTATGCTAATCATAGTGTAAATATAAAAAATTTACTTGAGTATAACAAAACTTACGCTGAATCAGTTGCAACAAATGAATTTTATTATCTTGATACATCAACAACTGCTAATAAAAATAGATTTATTAAAAGACAAGTTACTCATCGTCAAAATGCTGCTGGTGGTGCTGATGAAGCAGGTTTTATGTTAGATAACACCCCATCATCTTATAATAAAGGATTTGCAAAGCGTAAAGCTTTACTTGGAACATCATCCACAGTACGCTGTGAAATTCCACTTAATAGGTATTCATTTTTTGAGGCACTTGAAGATAAACTTCTTCCTAACACTAAAATCGAAATAAATTTTGAGATCGAAAAAGATGATAATCTTATTTGGAGGGCTGGAGGAGATCGTTGTCGAGTAGTAGTTACTCGTCTTCAACTTTTTGTACCTAGGCTGGTATTCAATGCAGAAGGAAGTAAATTATTTATGGAAAACTATCTCAAACCATATAAATGGACATATCTAAAAGAGGTTGTTGAGAGAAACATTGCTGGAAATCAAAGAACTGGTAATTTTAGAATTACAAATGGTATATCAAAACCAAGACATGTATTTGTTTTTATAATTAACACACCAAATATAGATACACAAACAGCAAATCCATTTTTGTATAATACTTTCAGTGTTTCTACAGATCCAAGGACTCTTGACAGGTGTTATCTTGAGGTAGGAAATGGAAATGAATATCCTGATATTCACTACAAACCTTCAACAGATCCTTCAAGAGTTTTTAGAGATGTGATGAAGTATGTTTATGCTAACAATGATTTTCAAGGAGGTACACTTCTTACTAGATCTACTTTTGAAGATATATGTCCGTTTGTATATTTTGACTTAACCAAGCAAAAACTAGACATAAAAGATGGGGTGACAAAACTTGCATTTCATTATGAGTTATCTGGAACAACTGCAGCTAACTACAATGTTTATGCTCTGGTACTTCACGAAACTGAAGCTGAAATAACACAACAAAATGGAAAACTATTGTTAAGAGCATAACCCCTCCCTTAGCTACACCACATATGATTACACAGAATTTTACACAAGCTGTTATAATTACACAGAAATTTCTACAAGTTGTTATGATTACACAGAAATTTCTACAAGTTGTTATGATTACACAAAATTAAATACAAGCGTAAAAGAATGATTGGATAAAAAAATCATACGATATTTATATTACAGCAGGTACATAAAACCACCAAAACAAAATAATATAAATATTATAATAAAAATGACAACTTATATTGAATACGGAGTAAAACTTACAGATGGACAAAAGTCAAAATTGGCTTCTGCAATATTAAATAAATCACCACTAACTCTTCGGTTAAAACATGGACAACTTCGAGGTTCTGATGAGTTAATGCTAACAAAAAGACAAATTTCTAAAATAAAAAAATCTATTGCAAATGGCACCGGATCGGATATAAAGATAAGTAAAACACAGATTAGAAGTTCTGTAAAACATGGTGGAAACTTATTTTCATCACTCGCATCTCTTGGAGCAAAAGTATTACCTTACGCAATAAAAGGAGTATCAAAAGTTGTTCCTGCATTGGCTACTGGTGCTGCCACTGCACTTGGAGAAATTGGATTAAATAAAATTTTTGGAAAAGGAATAACAATCCCCCATAAATTTTTCCCAATGCTACCACCTATTGTAAGAGAATTTACCAAATCACAAATAAACCAAATTAACAAAGCACATCAAACAGGTGGACGATTAATTATTAAACCAACTCGTAAACAAATAGAAG